ACTTTGTCGCAAGAACGAACTATCGAATATCGTCGAATTAAAATTACCGTTCATCGAAAGCGGCTAATTTACTCCGCGGGTGTACAGAGAAACACACACCGTTCCAGTGGACTACATTAATCGAAATGTATCGTTCTGCTTTCGAGCAATCGTGCTTCACGAATTTGAATCGCGAAAATTTTCGGTCTAAATATATTTGTCTCGAATATGAAACAGCTTAGATATTTAAATTTCTTCTTTGTATCCTGAAGTGAGCCATATACTATACTCGAAACATTCATTATGAAAAATGATGTTTAATCGATTTTAAAAGTTAGATTAATCACTTCACATTATTGAGTTATTGATTAGAAAAATGTCTGTCTTTTATTCAACTCACCGACAAACTATATACACTCACTTTATTAGAAGTATTTGTACCTGCAGTAACGTAAAGATTTTAATTCGCAATCTGTCGAGCAACTTCGCAACTGTCGAATTCGACACGAAACAGCAAGAAATTGAGATCCAAGGTCGAACGAAAGATTGTGTCAACCTGTTCTCTCGTCAAGTTTGCGTAAACAAAGCCATGGAGAATATGGAAGGTCGCGAAATCGTGTCGACCTGTCCGCGTGATTAGAATCAAAACCGCGAATTTTACTTTCGTCCTTCGCCGGGGCCACCTCGTTACGGTAAAAACTTTCTTTTCCGCTGGTTGTCAGGTAGGCGCGATTCTAGCCAGAACAGGGCAGAAATCGCGTCGCGAGTAGATCATTCCGGTGCGAAATTGGCGTGTGAATCTCGAACAAGATGTTTCCACGAAGAAGCACCACTCTCTAAACGCGAACTCACGATGAGTTTCGCGTAAAAATGATTTTCTATCGATTGTCACTCTCTTGGAACAGTATTAGACAGACTGGTTATTAGCATGCTGATTCTGGCATACTTAATAGAAGAACCATGGGAATTGATATCGCGGTGCGAAAAAGCGAAATTTATATTACCACTGAAAGCGGAATTACGATTCATAATAATCGTAGCCTAAACAAGTTGTAAAAAACGTTCGAAACGGCATTTACAATTACACTATACACAATTTTCTGAAATTTTAATAAATGAATCACTTATTTTTAAAAGACTTCTGGCTCTTATATTTTAACAATGGTTGCTCAGACTACAATTATTATAAATTGTTATAATTATTAAAGAAACCATCAACTCAATTTTAAACTAAGTCGCGATATTAATCTGCAATAAACGAAACAAGTTATATCGTGATTGTGTGGAAGTGTGGAATATGATAGTTCGATAAAAATGCAATAGGGACGGCTACGTGTTATTGGAGATCGGAATTTTTATGTGTAAACACGATCAAAGCCGTGCTCGATTCAACCAGTCGATCTTGATCGATTAATCGAGGAAAGTGCTTCAAGGCGTAGTTCATTTGACCGGATTTCGCGTTGCTCTTGTTACACGATCGTGTTTCGATGTGTGCGTTTTGCTACCGTAAATCCGGCATGCAATGACGATATTCTGACAGACATGGCATTACAATGCCAGCCCAGATTCGATTAATACAAATTTGACACGGATACTGGCTGGTAGGAAGGTCGATCACGCGATTCGAAGTTAGATCGATGCGTGGTTCCCCTAAGCAACTACCTGAGTTAATAATAAATCGACAAAAGCAGTGATCTACTTGCGTGAAGCTTGAAATATGCCATAATCGACGTGAAATATCTCTGTAATTTTATCCTCATGTGATAAAATATTTCCAATAATTTTAGCAATTGGAAATAAATTCAAACAGCACGAGACGCATACAAATGAATGGTTATTAAAGAATTGTGGAATTTATGTGGGATGTGTATTACATCGTTTCCCAAATTTCATTAACATTCTTACATCGTCACTACTCAATTCTTACACTGTCAATTTACTCTATACATAACTACCACAAATATCTAGCAGATTAGTTTCCTCATTCATCACTTTCCAATTCCCACAAATCTAAGCAAACGTACTTACCATTAACCATAGTTAACCACCAGTTATGGCTACTTCGTGCTAAACAAAACTCCGTACTAAACTGGTTTTCATACATAACGCCATCTAAAAGTCCATTATCACGTGTCCTAAAGTACCCGGCATGTAATTCAAGATGCCGCAGCGTGTTGCGTGGACGAAAATATGTATCCGTTCAAAAGTAACGTACGTAACGATCGTTTGAGTATTACTGCGGGATTAGAGAGCGATTGCCCAACGAACGAAAGATTTCTTCTCTTCCCTCCGAGACGAGAAAAAGTATTTCTAAGAAAATGTTTCACATGCTCGCAGGAGCGACGGACGTTACACTTTTCTCGAGGATACCGATAGCTTTCGCACGATACGTGAGACACACCTTACGTAATTATGTCTCGAACGAATGCATTATCTGATCATGCGTTGATCATTATTTGCTTTCCGCGAAGATCGAATCGTTTTCCGCGAAAATCGCATGGGAAAGTATCACCTGTACTGGAGGTCAGAGATTTTCATGAAATTTGACTATTTTGGAATTCACGTGGAATTAGGGGGTGGGTTAATCCTTACCAATGAAAATAAAAACAAAACAGGGAGATAGGAGATAGAAAAGTCTATAATCACGAACTTTAACGTTCTGTATATTTGTAAGAAATTTAAACTCAGCAAAATGATTACTTAAACCCTCCTTAATTTTATGTATAGTACAATATGTATCAATTTCATAAAATTTTCTCACGTCTAGCACCGACAGTGATCAATTTGACACCGTACTACCTCGTGAATAATAAAATATTGCAAACTTTGACGTCCCCTATTTTTTAAACGAATTGAAAGCCAACAAAATGCTGACTTACACCCCCTACAATTTTCCATGAACCACCAAATATTCCAATTTCGTCAAAATCCGTGGCCTCTAATTCAGAAACTCATCGATTCGCCGCGGAGTGACCCTTTCGTGAATTCCCAGAAGTCGAACGCTCGTTGAAATTCACGTAACGCGCGCCGCCGACAGCCGCATCCGGTCTCGATTAAGCGTCATTCGCATTACGATGTAACTACCAGAAGGGCTGGGATGCCCGCTGCGACGACCGACGATTAATCAATCGCGCCTCTCGATTAATCATCTGGGATGCGTCGGTAATATTTCGTAACGCGTCCCGAACAATGGTTCGCTTTTACTCTCGGCCAAAGAACACTCCGTTTCGTTCCGCGGAATCGCGAATCCATTCGACAAAACGCCAATCCCATGCACGATTGGAGATATGGAAATAAATTGTATCGAATGAAAGGGATAAGATAACCAGCGAACGTGTTTCATCGGCGGCCGAGCGTTCTATTAACTTTGTCAGTATTCCAGGGCTATAATTACGTGTCAATTAAGTACGCGTTGAAATGAGTATATCGCAATAAATTACAATGAATTAATTGGCGAGGAAAACGCGATCGCCGGAGAATTTCCATTCTGTTAGTTTGTGTAGTTATTTATGCACGGGCGTTCTGCTCGCGAGATGATTTATACTGGGTCGCCAGGAAAGTTTTGCAATGAATTGGCTCTAAGATACGTGGACAAGTTACGGTGAGCATCATTGGAAAGTGCGTCTCCGGAGAGGAAAGTGCGCACTTTGTAGACAGTTACGATTCGCTACTTTATGGAGCAGAGAGCCAATAGTAATTTTGCCGAACAAATATTTCTATCGCCAGTCGATGGTGTAGTTGGAAAAAATCATTTAACCACACTCGATACCTTCAATTATTAATATAAGTGAGTGGAATATTTTGGATAAAATAAACAATGGAAGAAACGGGGATTAAATAGACACGATAGACATGTTTACATCCCAATTTTAATGCGAAAGAGTATGCAAATAGAACGAATTCGATGAAGTAAAAGTTGCAGAAGAACCGTGACACTTTTTCCACAGACTTTTACACTCCAACGACTGTCCCGTTGTGTTTTGAAGAGTGAACGCGATTCCCTCGGCAAAAGACAAGAACCAGCTCGAAAGAAATTGGGTATTCTCGAGCTCGTTCACTTTTCCCTCGAACAACGCGTGGAACACCGTGGAAAGTCACGTGTTTAGACGCACGAATAGCATGGAAGGTCGGTGTTTTACGTGGTCGGGCATTAAAATCGTGCTTGAAACGAATATTACCGCCATCCCGATCCACCAGCCGCGACAATACGTTTCGGATAACGATCGAATCAGAGAGAAGCCGGTCCCGCCTGTCGTCGTCCATACGAATGAACCTCATCAAAATTCGAACGATCTCGATTCTCGGCGGGCGCGGACTGGAAATTCAAGTATAACTTTGCTGGTTGTGCGTTGTGTTGCCAGTTCGTAACGACCAGATGCGACTATTTATTTTCGGATGATAGAGAGTGGTACAGGTCTGCGTGTTTCGGCGTCTCGTCGCTCTATTTTCGCTCATTTATTTTTGATTCCTGACGAGGAACGTTAAATTAGAGTGTACACGTGATCGTAGCATGAAAAACGAAAGATTGTGTTAAATATGATAGGAGCGAAAGATTTTGTAAGCTGGGGGTCTCAGATTTCTGATGGAAGATGCGGAGAAATTCGTTAGGAATTGGGGATGAATTTACGAGAGAGTTCTAGTCGATTGATTTTTGTAATAGAGTTCAGAGATTTTGATACGATTGAAATGTAGTGTAGTGCACGTGAAATTAGTAGAGGTTTATGTTCTCATATTGCAGAATTCGCATTTATTTACAAACTACAAGATGCCAAACCTCGGGAAGTTTCGCGAGATCTTCTCCAAAAGTTCCAGTGTCTGATAACACTTTCTAGCTGATTCTACTAAAATGGTTTCTATAATAAATAAAGTCCATCGAAAGTCGCAACTTCTACGTTTTTAATCTGTTCGAATCGATTTGGCCAATGCACGGCTCAATTGACTCTTTCTCTAATTTTCCAAGTATCCATACGTAACGAAAGCACGAACTGTCCTAATCAACGAATCCAATTATCTCTTTTTAGGAGCCAATCGAAGGCCTCCTACCTGGCCTACCGAAGAGAGCGTGGAGCGCCCGACAGCGAGGGCAGCTACAAGAGGACCATGTCACCCACGTCTCGCTTAGAGGATTGGCCGCCACCGCGGGATCACGACGATCCCGTTCTGTTGCGCGTCACCCCTCATCATCCGTTGCAGCACCATCATCACCACCATCACAACAATCACCACTCGCAGCAGCCGGAGCTCTCGAAGTCGCACAGCGTGGACGCTCTTCATCACCGACTGGAGGAACGCACCGCGCAACAACAGCAACAACACTCGAACGAGGTGATCGGAAAGCTTTCGCACGAGTTGAACAAGAAACTCCAAGCGAGCGAGGCGAGGTCGCGTACCAGCGAAAACAATAACAACGACATTCACGAGGATCGACATCAGCATAACCATCATCATCACCACCACCACCTGGAGAAGAGACAGCAGGAGAAGAGGCACGATTACGAGCGCAGGGAGCGATTGTCGCCTCAGAGCGTCGAGGTTCTGAACGACAGGAACCGACAGCTGGAACGCGAACGCAGGAAGTTGGCTGCTAGCTGCGAACCCCTACCTCAGAACAGAGAGGTAACGTTTCGTTTGGGATTAGTTTTCGCTGCAAAGGTATTTTCATAACTAAGATGTAGGCTTTAGGGATGGTCTTAGGGATGTTATTAACTATATAAAGCTACTAAATGTGCCCAAAAGAGTATCACTCATAAATTTTGAAATTGTTGAACCATCTTTCTATTGAGAGGTAAATAATGAAACGCGGTCATTTTAATAAAAAAACAATTATAATATATATTCAGTGAAAATTCGATACAAAATGATGCAGAATTGAACAAATTAATATTTACTGAGTATGTCGTCAACTGACCCAGTCAAATCATGCAACGTATTTCCTGTTACCGTTGAAAGTCCGTCACCTCTAATATTTTCGTACAACGGTCTGCTCCTTTGCTGTTTACGCAGATCGATAACACACACGCATCTTCCTTTCCGAATTATAGAATGCTAGTACATATACAGTCAGTCTCATAAATATTCGTACCCTCTATGTCTATCGAAGAAATTTGTTTAAATTGAATGGTAGGTTTCATGTTTCCAAGTGTATCTTTCTATCTAGCCGACGGATGAAGATGACCTTTCACGAGCTTAAGACCTGGAAGTGTCGAATACAAATTATTCCATCACAAACAAAACGTGTCGCACCTGTCTACCATGTACCAGGAATAAATAAACTCACAAATATCTTCTCGGTTCCAGAAGCTGTCCCGCAGCGTGGACGTTCCCTCGTCGGTGGAGGAGGACTTCTTCCGCGAGCGAAGCGCCACGATCGAGATGACCTCGCAGAACATCGAGCTGCTGAACCGTCGCAACGAGAAGCGAGCGCACTCCACGTCGACCAGCACCACGTGCATCACGACGTCGTCGACGTCGACGACGATGACGATCACGACGGACACTTGCTGGTCGCGCGGACAGGAGGTGCGTAGCTCCGTGGAGACGTCGACCATCGAGAGGCCGCCCCCGCCGACGAGTTCGCCGCCTAGATCGCCCAACAGAATCGAAGGGGAGAGTCCCAGGGGAGCGGTTCCAAGACGGTCCGGAAGCTGTTCCAGTTCCTCGTCCTCGAGCAGATCGTCCGATCCTCGAGTGTCGCCACGCAGTTTGTCCAGCAGCTTCTCGAAGATCGATGGATCACCTATCAATAGGAAGGTCTCCAGCCCCACCCAAACGGACAACACTGGTTCCTCGAACAGATCTAGCTCGCCAACTCATGCACGATCGAACGAGATAGAGCTGAGAGTGGATAGATCGTCCTCGTCCTCGAAGTCCAGGTCGGGAGGCAGGTCCTCAACGTCCTCGATCTCCAGCGCCTCCAAAGCGTCCTCCTCCTCGTCGTCGAGAAACTCACCGATCGAGGGTGACAAATCCGCGCCTACGTCGCCGTGCGTGTCTCCTCAGCCGGGAATAGAAGGGCTGACCCTGTTGCAACGCACCGAAGTAGTCCTTCGAGTGAACGCGCCTACCAGCGACGCCGCCTCGCAGACTGACATCCTGGAACCCATGGACCACGACGTCTCCTCCAAGAGCCAGGAACTTCAGCTGTGTCGGAAGAAACTGCCAGAGGAGATCGAGTGCGAGGAGCTAGGTCGAGATCTGGCCAGTCAACTTAACCCTAACGACAAACTGGTGCCCCTATTAGGTGAGTTTAGTACCCAGCTTTGTCCTTAAATGCGTGGAAGCAGGTAAGGATATCAGCGATTCTTGCTGAGCACCTGGTTCTTGCAGGTGTTTTTATCCTGTAAGGGTTATGCTACTATAGATTCTTAACGATCATTCTTAGTTAGTATTTGTGAACATAATTAACCTTTCACAACTAACCTATCACAAGCATATCCACCATGTGAAATTTCTTAACCTTCGACCTCTACTTCCTCATCAGTTTATGCTTATCCGAATCTACTACCTCATACACAGTCTTCTTCAATAAATATCCGCCACCAAGCCATTTTATTGAAATTTGTGCTTGCCACCACTGACCTTCCCTTTGCTAGATCTCGATACAATTCGCATCCAACGTTTTCACTCATCTTTCATCGAAGTTCCTTTATATAGTGTTCGAGCCACCAATACCTGCGATTATAAACTTTTCATCTGCGATTATAAACTTACCTTCACAGTGGGGGAAGGAAACGCGCCGGTAGCTACCGTGGAGGCGAACGAAAGCAGATTGGAGTTTACGAGCCAGGGATGAAAGAGCTCGTTTGCTCGTAAGGGAACAGTGTTACGCGCCGTCGTTGTGTATCTTGCACGCTTTACGCAGACTTTAATTCTCGGCTTAGTCTAATCCCAGATTACCCGGGTTCGCGTCGAACACGTCTAATAAAAGCCACCCAAACATGGCTGTTAACGGAATTCCCTGTCGTCGTTTCTCGATGGCTTAGAGTAATCCTATGGATTTAGTGCGGTTAATGTCGTCGCCAGACTCGATCTACCTGCACGAGGCTTTTATTATTCTCGTTGTTACGCGCCCCCTCTGATTTGCACACACGCGGACCAGTCGTCGTATGTAGTTCAAAGGCACTTGAGCGTGAAGCTGTTTAACTTAGGATGTGTACGATATTGGACGTATTCAGAGTGGAGAGATCTGATTTAGAACAGATCGACTCGAATAGCTTGTTTACTATTGCTGGTGGAAAAATGGCAGTTGGATATTCTTGGTTGGAAAAATAATCATCTGTATTTCAGAGTAGTTTAGAATAACTAGCTCTAAATAGATGAATCCTATATAACATTTGTTGGAATGACATTATATTTTTCATTACAATTTAAAATATTGAAATTCTAATGTCTAACTTGTCAGAGTCCATCGTCATGTCCATCAACTATATAAATTGTATCTATCTTCAAAGTAATAGATTCATCGAGTCTTATCGACACCAGTTATCCATCCCACAAGGTGAAACGATAGTAGATCAAAGTAGAGCTGGCCTCGTTATGACGTATTTGTTTAATGAAATCACTCGAAACAAAGAGTCCGTCCCCCTACACGCGTACGACCGATATCGTGCGCCCGTAGAATCTCTCATGCGTCATCAGCGAGGAGTCCAGCGACCAGGGCGACGACCCTACGTTTTAATAAGCACTAACTCATTGAACGACCGCGTTATTCAATTACGGCGTCGGTGCGCTCCCGCGATATTGAACGCGTGCACGTTATGGCTTCCAAGCCGCCACGAGGATTCCTGGAGCGTGGAGGCGCGTGGAAGATGGAGGGGACGAGCAACGCGTGTAACCATTCGTTGTTATCAGTTCCAGCGCCGGAGCACAAGAAGCCCACCGACTACGTTTCCGGTTTGTTCAGGGTGGAGGCGACCTTGCTGCCCAGACCGAGGCGCCGACTATCCCTGGAGGAGCCGACGACCCCGTGTTCTGAAAATGGATCCGATGACGAGAAAAAGTGAGTCCGAGCCTAACGTATACGTAATTAAAATAATTGCTGGCCTTTTGGGAATGTGTTATTATGGGAACTGGTCTGTTTCCTTGGAAGCGAGGTGCAGGAGCCACGGAGGTTTATTTTGTTATTTGGACGGGGAGGGGAATATTCCATTGGAAATTAATGCAAATTGAATTATTTATTGCGGCTGCACCTATGGGCGTGGGCAATTTATTCCATATTTTTATTCATTTGCCATCTTTATTATGGAGATACGTATAAAATGAAAGGCTTACGTTAGAGGCAAACAATATATACTGTGATTATTGTCTTCAAGGAAACGTTATTTTATTGACATCGTTAACTTATGAACGACTAAATTCTGGAAATTGGTTATGAATAATAATAATAGTAATACTGCTTTGTTGTGCCAAGCTTGTATATAAAAATGTGTATATTCTTCTCGATAATGATCAAGACCACCTTCAATTTATTTTAGTACAACCCTGTTACTTACTTCCCCAATCGTACACCAGGCGACGTATTCAATGAACTTAACACAGAATAATTAATAAAAGAGATTCTGTCAAAATATCTTACTATCGCTTTCACATTCTGTCTTCGAACGTAACCCACAGCAAAAATTCCGAGAGGGTTAAATGCTCAGCCATTAGAGCATTACGGCTGCACTCCTCATAAATGAGAAGCGTTACTAGTTTTTCCTCGTTACTGTACTCCATCGTTCTCGCTGGATAATAATCACACACGTTGCACAGAAGACTGATAACATCTGGCTACCTCTCTATAGGAATCTAGCTTCCAGTAAAAAGTGTTCACAATCATAGTAGGGTAGATTACACGTCAGTTATCAAGGTCAGATGTAATGATTAATACCATTGCACAACACGGGAAAGGCTGCGAAGACGTGTGATTAAGGATACCACATGTTACAAGGCACGTACAGGTTCACTTTTCTCGACTAAACACTTTCTTCGCCATATTATTATTTTAGATAGGTGTACATTTTTTCGTCGTTAATTATCTTGGAAATTTTTGATCTATTTTCTCGTAAACAAATTTAGGAGAGTCCGTCGTTTACTCTTGGCACGCTATCGCGACAACCGTTTCGTAGTATCTGTATTTTCCTCGTGCACCTATCCGCGGAATTTTTCGTTATTATCGTTACATAAATGTTAACTGATCGTCCCGAGCGATACGGGACGTGTCGATATTTCATACCTGGTTGCTCCACGCGATGCCTTGACTGGCACTTTCACCGAAGAACACGAAGGATAGTTGGCTGTCGTGGTTTCCTCGTGTTTTTCGCATTTCCAGTCAGGTGGTTTATTATTGCGCCCGTTTAAGCGAATTTGCGTGGGTCCGATTAATAACCGGGGGTCGTGTCCCGTTGGAAACGGTGCCAAGGAGGCTTCCATCTTTTCACGGTGCACCGTGGAGAGATATCCTCGACACGTGGCTAAAGAGGTCGCGTGCCGGGGACCGTTGCTCGCGGAGATCCTTAATTGTCCAATGAGTGACGTTTACGTGGGCGTAGATCCCGAGACTCTTGGCCAGGCATCATTAACGAGCCTCCATTAGAGCCGTGATTTAATTGTCGTTTTTCAACAGCGAACCGTTGCTTATGAATCATAACGCAACGGCTGAACAGAGTACGATATGTTTATTTCTCGTAACTTTTCGTTCGTATTTTTCTCCAAGTCGAACAATTGACGATGTTGTGTAATTACGAAGGTTCTTAAGATCGACGATGATAACTCGTGTATTTATAATGTTTGATCTTTACTTTTTGTGTCCTATATTAAACTAGAGAATTTCCTTATTAACTGCATTATTTATGAAATATCCTTACAAGCTATGTATAGAATTTCCTTGTAAATTAAAATACCTGTTCAATTTACTTATAAGCTACATTCTTTATAGAATTGACATTAGGTAAAGAAATACCTTTAATATCCAAAACTGAGGCCCTTAAGATTGCCAGTCGTTCATACTAAAATAGACCTAGGAGTGCGAAAGGTTAAGGAGTATCTTGTGTTCCTCTCCAGGTGATCCAAGGATCCCTACTCTTGGATCATCCACCTCGAAAATAGTTTATCTAAATCGAAAAGTGATTTTCCTCTCCTTCTGGAACGTCCCCGCCGATCGGGGACAATATTTCCGTTGGCACGCGCCTGGAGAAAGTACCAGAGGCGCAAGATTGTTGCGTAACTAACCATAAACGATATTGTTAGGCCTGGCTACTCGGTGGTCTACGCATCATTTTGCTCGCCAGTCTGCGACGAACGAGCGTTGACATCGTTTCGATCGTTCCCGGCTTCGCGTCGATCGCGCGTGAGAACATCAAAGATGGCAGCGGTGCATTCGGAGAAGTACATCGAGACTTTCCTCTTTCGCGTGTATCTTATCGATCCCTCGCGGCAGGCCCCGATTCGCGATAGGTCGTAAAATTAGCCGTCGTAAACCCGCTCGGATTCGTTCCGCGTTGAAAACGCGCTACAGTAAACTGCGACAGAAGTTTATTGAGTTCTTTCGTTTTCTTTAGGGAAACTCGTAGTTGAAGAGCTGCCACTGCCGCTCCATGAAAAACTCGGGAACTTTCGAAAACGACGACGAGGATGGCCACTTGAATACGCGGCGCGCGATAAGACGCGTGGTACAGAGGTGTTCAAAAGTATTAGACACGTATGCTTACCTAGTTTCTTTATCAGTAGTGATGAGTGGCCAAGGATTGAGAAAGACAGTTTCATACTTGTATTTGTTTATACTAAAATATTTGAAACGATAGCATTTATGGAATTTTCTTATAAATTATAGTTTTTATAGAATTTTCTCATGTACTACATTCTTTGTGAGTCATTCTTTGCTTCTGGAATGTACTGTACAAATATAAATATACAAAATATATGAAAGTTATAAAAACTCTAAAATTTATTCACGGTATTTAAAGTATGATCCATATTTTAATCGAAAGTAATACTCGAATGCATTCTAAAGCAACTTGCACATTCATGCCGTCCGTGAAATTGACCGATGTCCAATTACATGCACTTCAAAGTTAAATAGGTGCCTAATACTGTTGAATGTCGCGGCATTTACGATGGTGCCTCCGCTTCCGCTTTTCATTAATTATGCTCGTCTAGCTTCTTGAGCGGGCGCCAACGTAATAGCCAACCGATCGGCGTGGTTGCTTTTTGAACCACCTTTGATGCGGTCACTTTACTCCGCTTTCCTTTCTTTATCACTTTCTCCTCTTTTATAGAGTCACTCTCGGTCGACGCGCACGCACGATAAAGATATCTCGAATGAACTCGCATTCCCCGGTAAATTATCGATCCTAGACTCCATTTTATCTGCGAACTTAGAGGACTGGGCACTCGGATCGTTTCTTGAGAATTAATTCCAAGGAAATGAACAGAGCTTTTTTGTTAGACACTTTTTGTGGTAACATTTCAAACCTAATCCAGACATTTTTTTCTACACTATGTGTTTATACGTATCTCAAAGACTTAGACAATTTATTGCTAGCGTTACCGTATTTCCATAGTAGATCCCAACGCGACTGGACTCCCCCCCATCTTTTCCGCATCTTGCAAAGACGAGACGCGTCCACGACACCACGATCGATAAATCATTTCAGCGACGGTCCCTCTTCCTCCACGAAACGTGCCGAACGACTCAGCCCGCGAGTCATGATAGTGATGCAACCCATGTCCTACACGATCACGAATTGGCTGGATAATTTTTACACGGACATCGCGAGGATGTCACGTCGAGGAGGCTAAGGAGAAGATTTACCGACGATAATGGCTTGTTGCAGGAACGAAACGATACCTTCAGCACCGGTCACTCTGCTGTCGAGCGACTCGACCAGCCCTCTGTCACCGACGTCGGCGTATTTCACCACGTCCGAGGGCAAAGCCAGGTTCCTGACCAGATACTCGCGAGATGTGACGGTCGAGGGTCTAATGCGTCAAGAGGATGCTCCCTCGGTCATCCCCACGGATAGCCTTGATCTCAGGCAAAAGAAGGTATAAGAATCCTTTCATTTCATTTATTTTACTGCCATGCATAAATCTTTGCACGTGGAATTGGAGAAATTAGGATGATCTGCTCTTGGGGTTTGTTCAAAGAAAATTTCTTTTAGATACTTTTCGAAGTAACATTTCAGATTGTGAAACTTAGATTTCTTATGTCAATATTTATTTATTTAGGTAAATTTTTGTTCAACTGTCTTGTTGCAAATAGATTAAATAACTCAATAGAAGAGATATTATATCACTTTGAGATTGATACTACAAGAAATTTAATCGAATCTGATGCTGCACACATTAGATGCCACGTAGTTTACTTTATGGAATGTGGAAACCATCTCAAGGTATCGCTAACTCAAGATAGAACTACCTAGCTCAGCTCCCAGTTAGAGGAATGAAACAAGAAGACCTCATTCTAATCCTGAGTCAGGAAATACTGCTTGACCTCGCGCGTAA